GTGACCACAAATTAAAAAATTAAAATGGATAAATTTGTCAATAAAATTAAAAAATTTTAATCCGCTAGCGGTTTAGTACAAAAGTTACATAAACTAGCTTTTTCAATCCGCTAGCGATTTGGATCCTAACCGCTATCGATAGTCTCAAACTGTTAAATAAAAATTTTACCAAACACTTTAGTTGTAGCGGTTTCGAAATATATAAATTTACCAAACACCTATATTTAACAGTTTAGGTAAAACCACTGACCGCTATTTTAAAACTACTATTCCAAACGGGCCTTAGTCATTCTTAATTTTCATTTGGGACTTTCAGTGGCTGTTAAACAAAAATTTTATTTGGAATGTGTTTGGTATGAGTTCAATTTTTTCAAGAATGTGAGTAAAAAAAGTATTGTCGAGATAGTTGAAAATTATTATAAGAAAAGTTTATAACGTTTGTAATTAAATTTTATTTTTGTCCATAGAGAAAATTAGAGGGAAAGTTCTCATCTAATAAGGGAAATTTTGGAAAACTTGGGATTTAAGTAGGAGAAGTAACTCCCTTATTGAAAATTATATATTAGAAGGCAAAATAGAGTCATTAAGTAATTGTTATTATTTATAATTTAAAATATGTATATCATAAAATTAAAGTGAAATAGGTAATAATTATTTTTCAAACTCTAAAACGGTAAAAGCACATTGGCCAAGAGTACAGCTAACGTTGGGCCAACAAACTTTAAAGAAAGCAAAGGCCGAATTGTCTAGACCCTACCTTATAATTGGATAAATTTGAAGGAAAATAAAATATTGAAGACTTTAAGAAACCAAAGAAAAAAAACACCAATGCTATGTTTGGGATCATTGGAGTGTTTTTGAATTTGAGACTCCAAATTCAAATACACTATTTGTTTGTATTAAATAAAAATATATTTGAATTTGTTTTAAATATATGTATTTGAAACTATGTATTTTAAAATAAAATTGCATGTATTTCAAATACTTTTGCCTACCCTATGAATTTCAATTCTCAATTCTAGTATTTCATTAAATTAAGTAGGATCGTTGATGGAATATTTGATCAACTTCACCATTAGCCACTGATAATTTTTTATCAAGTCCCCTTTCTCCTTCTTTGGAATAGATCTTCTCTTTCTTTTAATTTCATGATGAATATAATTCTTAGATGGAAATCTCAAACCTATATCATGGCTAGCATACTCACGAGTTTGTCAATCAAGTTTGAATTATCAATTATCTCTTCTTCTTATGTGGGTATGAAGGGTTAGGCAAAGGAATGGTTATGAACTCACAGTATCAATGCACCTCCTTCCCCACTAGCCTATTTGCTTAGCCACCTCCCTTCACTTTGCTTCTCTGTTTTTTAGAATTAATTAGCACACACTTTACTAGTGCTTGTATTTAAAGGCATGGGCTTGTTCTAACTTCTAACTTCATATATTTAGTTGGTTGGGCTGCATATTTTTATTCAAGAATGGAGGGGCAAAGGAACTCATTTTCAACCAAGGTGCTTAATTGTATTAGTCCTTTTTGTTTGTGAGTGATTATTGACGAAGTTTTTAGCTAAATTTATTCAATTGAGTTATTGGTTGATATTTGAAAATTTTTAGGTCTTGAGGTGATGAGGTATGGAAGAGTATAGTATTCTTTCGCTTTGCACACCACCTATTTGATAAATTACCTCACTGAGGTTATGACGTTTTAAGTCTTTTGATACAGTACTTAAACAGAGGGAGAGAAATAAGGGTATTGACATGGTCAACTAAAATTGTCTATTAAGTATTTGTAAAAATGCCTTAATAGGAAGAAATAATATCAATTTAATTTCAAATTCATAGTAACTTAATTTATCCAAAATGTGTATTTTAATAAGTACTTAAAATATATGTATTTAAATTACATGTATTTTAAATACACTCATTAAATTCAAATTTAAGTTCCCAAATGCAATCCAAAAGAATTGTAAAATATTGAAATGAAAAGAAAATTTAAAAAATAAATACATAACCCAAACCTTGAATAACTAAAATCTAAGAGAAGAACTTGAAAAGAACTATTGCAAATTTATCTCTTTGTAACAAACCAATATAAATACTTTAATTCTTAGTTTTTCACAGCTGTAATTTCTCTCTTCACTTTTATTCTGTTTTTTTTATTTTATTTTATTTGTTTTTAACTAATTCTAATTTCAAAGTTCTCTTAAGATGACTTAAACTTTTAAAATCAACACTCTTTTTTAAAAAGTTTTTTCTTGTATTTTTTAATCTTAAGTTATGTAATAATTAATAAGATACAATTTTTTCTCATCTTTTAATCCACCCCACCCAACACAAATAAAACTCAAGACTTTTTACTTCTATTCCATTCTATATCCTCTTAATTAAATCCCCTAAAAACCCAATATTACTTGATACAAATTTCTCAATATTACTCATAATTTATCCAATTTAGCTTCCAATACACCATCAAACTAGACTCTCATGAAGCTTCTAGAAGAATCTACACAAATTCTTAATTCAGAGCAAGAGAAAGATTAAAGAAGGATTAAGGATTTGATTAATTTTGGATACCATAGAAGAAAAAAAGAAGAATTCATATATTTTAATCCACTAAAAGGAAACGGTGCACGTTAATTCTTCAATTGAATTTGCATTATTTCTTGTTGTCTAGCCGTTACGCTCTTTTATTTGTGCTACAATTTGGTCTGTGGCATTTCCATTTTTTATTGGTAAAAACACTTTATTAAGCCCTCAAACTTACCACAAAATAACATTTAAACTCATAAACTAAAAATAAAGTAAATAAACTCTCCAACTCCACTAATGATGCAAGTAAGTCTTTTTCATTCATGAGTATTCATGCTTTCAAGGTAATATTAAACATGAAATATCATTTGTGAGAAGGTTTATTTGCATTGTTGGTAGAGTTGGAGGGTTTATCTACTTTGGTCTTAGTTTAAAGACTTAAATGCTATTTGGAGTAAGTTTGGAGACTTAAGAAAGGTTTTTGCCTTTTTTATATGATTTATTTATTCTATATAACTACAATATCACGGAGATAAGTGAAGGTAAAACAAGAAGGACCAATCCAAGATGAAGTCCTGGTTCTGCTACTGCAAAACAAATACCCACTCTATCTGTGGAGTGCACATGGTACTCCTAAAAAAAAACACACTAATATTATTAAGATAAATGAAATTAAAATTTAAAACTAATAACATAACATAAATTATGTCATTTAAAATATTAAAAAATAAAATTTA